TCACCGCTGTTGACTAGCATTGCGTAGTTACCAGGTTACGGGGCTCGGCTATCTTCGGCTCCGCTCGTGACGTCACCGCGGCGAGCGTGGCGGGGTGATGTCTCGCCTGTTACGCGAGCGTTACGCCACCGCTGATGGGTGGGAAGGGAGCGCTGATTCACCAGCCGCGTCACTGCTGGTGTGGGGGGGGCTCGGTTTGCGCAACATGTCACACTGCTCCCTCCTGAAGGCTGTTCGTCCCGAATAGCCTAACGGTGCATGTGTTCTGTTTCATGAAGAATAGTGATTCAGCTTTTATTCTAATTATATCCCGTAATGGGATATACTAATTTTATTTCGACTGGATAAAACTTACATTTCTTTGGATGAAATTAATGAAAGGGACAGGGATTACTTAGATAAAACATGTGTATTTTTTTATTGCTAGTGCGATGGGACTAAGTCCCTTGTACTGCGGCCACTTCTGGCCTATTGTACCAGCCCCAGATGATAGGTGAGGGTGATTGTGGAGAAATTGGTGGAATGAAGACTGGCAGGGAAACCGAAGTATTCGGAGAAAACCCGCCCCAGCGCCACTTTGTCCTCCACAAATCCCACTTGACCAAACCCGAGATCGAACCCTGGCCGCCGCGGTGGGAAGTCAGCGACTAACCGCTTGAGCTATGGCGCGGACTAAAACGTGTAAGTGGCGTGCAATTTGTTTTGGAAGTACTTGTCATTCCAGCTGTGGATGGCGTTGGCTCAAACTCCGTGGGGTGGCTGTACTTGCGTCCATAGTACCCGAGGCGGCTTCTAAGCGTGAGGACACCCACATGTCAGCAACAACGCGCCCATTTTCACGGTTCTAGGCCGAAGATTAATTTATTTTAAATTAGTTTCCTTTCAAAATGCACACGCCTATACCATATTCTGCGTATGCTGTACTAGTTAGGTCACATACGATAAATTGATAACGATGGCTTTGAACTTCTAATATCATAATTCACATCAGATCGCCATCTTGAGATCTATGTGGAACATAAATTCTTACTGTGGGACCTCGACTTCGAATCACGTCTTAGCAGGGACACTGTGGGCCATTTCAACGACGTGCTTAAACACACACAGGTTTACATGGATGACTCACTCATCTCTTTTTGAGAACCGCTAGTTGTGCAGCTACTTAAGTACTTCCCAGCGTTTATGGAATCTGATGTTTCATTGCCGTGTTCACAAGAGCCCACTGGTCCCTATTCTGAGCCCGATCAATTACATAAGGGCTCATTACTGTGCTCACATATGGCCATTATGGCACTCTATTCTTATGCAAACACACCCAGTCCAAACCCTACCAAATTATTTACTTAAAATGTGTCCTAATAGTATCTTTCCATCTGCACATAGGTCTCCCAAGTAGTCTGCTCCTCTCAGCATTTCTGTCAAAAACTTTGTATGCATTTCTCACTCTTGAATGTGTGCTACATGACCTACCCACATCACTCTACTTGAGTTGATCACTCTCCTACATAATATACCAAAATGTTATAATGTCCACACCCACAGGAAGAAACTTCCCACATGGATTATGAAAACAAACACAAGCTTGTCAAAACATATTTACTTTCTTTGGCTAAGAGAACTGACACATGACAATAAAATTCTAGTCTGTGCACATGAGCACAAAACACTCACCATGCTTTCTTTTACAGCATGAAATGTTTCTTCAGCTCTTTGTAACAGTTTTGACAGTCTTGTTGCAAGAGAAGGCAGAAACTTTTGTAACCTTGGAACTTGTTTATCATATATATTTTCTGGGTTCACTGACATTCACTTACAACAACACTAGTGACATATAATGTCTTGGTTCTAGTAAGTGTACCAGTAAATAACTGAACAGTTCCCCAAATCTGTAAGAAATTTTGCTGCTACAGAATTTCTCTGAAACACCATTCAGTTTATGCACTATCTAATTTCATCTATATTACAACTGCATAAAGGAAAAGGGAAAATGCACATGACAAGTAACATTCAAGACACTACAACTGTCCAGAGACACTTCAGAAAAAGCTCTTCTAAATCCAATCAGCAGCATAGTGAAACTGTTTCATTTGCACAGTCAGACAGATGGAGATCAGAAAGCAATTGCCATCTCTGAATATCCCCTTCTTCTGCTGCATCTGACACTTCCTCAGCTTTCATATTCATGGCCTGATCTCCATCATGACATCCTGGGTATGTCTCACTGTATGGACCCAATAAAACTTCCTTGGAATTTGAATAGCTCTGTAAAACCATCATATTTTTATCAGTCATGGCCGCAGAACACCATACATGAAACAATATATGTTGTCCTTGCTTTGGCTGTCTTTTATTACATCCAAACCACAGCAGCTGTTCTCTAGAGATTTCAAAAAAGTCAGAGAGCATTAAGTTCAAAGTGCAAGGACCTTCTTGACAAATAGTAGTCACTGCAGCAGTACAGAAAATACGTACTTTTAATGTACTCAAAACTGCACAATGAGGAACTTCATAACTTGACACTTTACCAAGCATAATTCGAATGATCAAAGTAAAGAGGGTAAGATTGGCAGGGCATACAGCCAGCATGGGGGAAAAGACGAATGCATATAGGATCATGGGAAAGCCACAAAGAAAGTGACAATTAAGAAGACCTAGACACAGGTTAAAGGATATTAAAATGGATCCTAAACAGATATAGGTAAAGGAAGTATGGACCGGATTGATCTGTCTCAGGATAGCTACTTCTGGCCAGCTCATGTGAATACAGTAACGAACTCTCATGTTTCATAAAATGTTGGGAAATTCTTCAATGACTTAGTGATTGGTGCCTCTCAAGAACAGCTCATTCATGGAGTTAGTTTTGGCTTCTAAGGGCTCCTTAATGTGTTGACACAGGCCCCAACTTGGCTCTGTATCCTGAGGGAAACACACCCAGTCCAAGCCCTCTGAAATTATTTCTTTAAAATCTGTCTTAGTAGTATCTTCCATCTACACACGGGTCTCCCAAATAGTCTGCTTCTCTCAGCATTTCTGTCAAAAACTTTGTATACATTTCTCACACTTGAATGTGTGCTATATGACCCACCCACATCACTATATTGAATTGAATTGAATTTATTTACATTCTATAAATCCTAAGTAGGTTAGTACCTTTGGATACAGAACAAGTCAAAAGGTTACATACATAAGTACAGGCAATTTTAGCTTAAAAATTAATATAACTTAATTTTACATCATTCTCTATTTACATTGAAGTATTCATCTAAAGAGTAGAAGGAATGAGCATGTAGATAATTCTTTAACTCTGATTTAAACTTTTTAGTATCATTGCCCAAGTTTTTAATACTTTGTGGCAGATTGTTGAACACTTTTATGCCAGTAAAGTAGACTCCTTTTTGATATACTGATAAAGTTGATGAGGGTAGGTGGAAGTTATATTTTTGTCTAGTATTCATGTTATAGACATCAGAATTTAATTTGAATTTATCTTTGTTGTAAACAACAAATAGGAGAAGCGATAATATGTATTGCGATTGAAGCGGTAGAATTTTTAATTTCTTAAATAATTCTCTACATGAATCTCTACTTCTACATCCTGTAATGATTCTTATTATATTCTTTTGTATTTTAAAAATTATTACACTATGTGAAGAGTTCCCCCAAAATATTAATCCATAGTTCATAATAGAATGAAAGTAGGCATGGTAAACCATCTTCAATGTTTCCTGTGATCAACTTGAGTTGATCACTCTCCTACACAATACACCAAAATGTTATAATGTCTACACCCATAGGATGAAACTCCCCACATGGATTATGAAAACAAACATAAGCTTGTCACAACATGTTTAGGTTCTTTGGCTAAGAGTACTGACACTTGACAAAAAATTCCTCTCAGAATTACTGGGCTTTTGGACTTTTTTCCATTGTCCAGTATTCTAGAGTCTAGAAAACATGACATTTTTGAAACTGGATCTGTTTCTATCCTCAGGTGAGGGGAGGGGGGGAAGACACCTAGTCAGTTGGGTCCCTTAGAGAGAGAAACCTCGAGGTGTCTCCTCCCACTCATCTGAGGATGGAAACAGATCCACTTTCTGGAAACTTGTTTTCTAGTCTGTAAAATACCAAAGGATTGAAAAAGTCCAAAAACCCAGTAACCCATCATCAGAACCATTTAGAAAAAAATTCTTGTCTGCACACAAGCACAAGACACTCACCATGCTTTCTTTCACAGCAGAGTATGTTACTTCAGCTCTCTGCAGCAAAATTCTTAGTGCACTTGTTGCAAGAGAATGCATAAACTTTTATAACCTTGTAAAACTTGTTTATCATGTATGATATTTTGTGGGGCAGAGTGAAATTAACATGTGAGAACCCAAGTGACAATGTCTTGGTTCTAATAAGCGTACACAGTAATGAACTGTGAATAGTTCCCCAAATCTGTAAGGATTTCTCTTGCACTAGAATTTATCTCAAACATTCTTCATTTTACACAGTATTTAATTTAATCTATATTTCATCTATTTAAAAAGTAAATGGGTATGGCACATCACAAGCAACATTCAACAAACTTCCACTGTCTATATGCACTTAAGAAAAAGCTCCTGAAAGTCCAGTTGGCAGGGCAGTGAAACTGTTCCATTTGCACAGACAAAGATGGAGATCAGAAACACAGTCAGTCAGTCAGACAGACGGAGATCAGAAAGACAGACAGTCAGACAGATGGAGATCAGAAAGACAGACAGTCAAGACAGATGGAGATCAGAAAGACAATTGGCATTTCTGTGTGCTATCTTCCGAATAGTGGACAAACAAAAACATACAGCTCACCTCAGGTTCAGCCTTTATTTCCTGAACTGCTATTCGCAGAGGATCCTCTTCCTCTGCTGCAACTGAGACTCCCTCAATTTTAACATTCACGGTCTCATTTGCATGATGTGATGCTGTGTACATCTCACCATGTGGACCCACTAGTACGTTCTCTAAATTTGCATAGTTCTGTAAAACCATCATATGGTAGCATGTAGACCTATTGCTAAGTGATGACTCAGTAAACACCTGATGCTAGGCGACAGATTCCAGACAAGCAACAACTGAACTACAACAATGAGGAGCCGTGTTCTCCATGCAGCCCATGCCGAGAGGTTATAAGTGGAACAAAATTTAGAGCATAGTCAGTTGTACGATAATCACCTGGTGGTAATGACATTTTTAAGGTCTGTTGCCAGAAAATGACTAGTCAATACACAGAAGACTTTGTGTGCGCTGCAGATATAGTGATCTTCAGTATGTAAAACAGTGAGGCTGTTGCATTTACTTGTAGTTACAAGTTGTTTGAATCTGTTCAATAAATCCAATCACCAATCCAAGGCTAATGTAGTCACTCAGACACATGACAATATCTTTATCAGTCATGGCTGTACATCATCATACACAAAACACTGTATGCTCTCCTTGCTGTAGCTGTTTTTCATTACATCTAACCCATAATAGAAGTTCTGTAAACATTTCTTCCCTACAGCATTCAAAACCCAGTCCAAACCCTCCAAAATTATTTCTTTAAAATCCTCATGCACAAATGTCTACCAAGTGGTCTCTTTTCTCAGGTCTTCTGTCACAGTAATTGTATGCACTTCTCATTCTCACATATGTGCTATATGACCTACCCATATCACTCTCCTAGATAATATTCCAAATTGTTATTATGTGAACATCCATGTATAAAAACTACTTAGATGTATTATGAAAATTAAAACAAGGTTGCCATAAAATTCTGTATTTCAGCATCCTGTTGCAATTGTTTCTTAAGTTGTTAGTTCCTTAGGCCACGAAAACTGACAGATGATGATGATAAAAACTTTATTCTTTGCACTCACTCATGGAGCTGAACCCTTCTTGAGAAGTTACCAACTGTGCAGCTACTCAAGAATTTCCCAGCATTTTATGAAACTTTAAGGTTCGTTAATGTGTTCACAAGAGTCCTCCACTGGTCCTTATCCTGAGCCAGATGAATCCATACCATCCCATTCTATTTCTCTAAGATCCATTTTAATGTTGTCCACCCACCTACATCTTGGTCTTCCCAGTGGCATCCTTCCTTCTGGCTTTCCCACCTATATCCTACATGCATTCCTCCTCTTCTCCATCTCATTGCTCATTCTAATTATACTTGGAGTAAGGTAAAACTCTTTGCACACAAGCACAAAACACTCACCATGCCTTCTCTCACAGCAGGAAATATTTCTTCAGCTCTCTGTGCCACAATTCTTGGCATTCCTGTTGCAAGAGAATGCAAAATCTTTCATAACTTTGTACCCGCAGCTAATTGGGATAAGTTGCCCAAGCCTAGAAAGAGTAAACCTGATCTACAGATTTATAACGTGTTGCTTCAAAATGATATTCACTATGCATCTGGATATCCTGCAACTTCAACCACTTCACCATAAGCCATCAGTTCTCATTACTTCCTTTATTAGTCGGGCTGATACGTGTAACAGGTGAGAGAGAAGAGACTGTACAAATGTGCAACCTAACACAAACATCTCACTCAGAACACTGAAAAGTTTAGAATCCCAGGAAGAACTTAATATCAGGAACCCCAGCGGTATTCTCTTCTAACATTCTGTCATATGTTCTATAAATCTACTTTATTTCAAGTGATCATAATAATTCATTAAAAAATACTCAATTTACATAATTCAAACAACAATTACACATCCACCACGACAATCACCTCCAACTTGACACTGTACTTTGTTCGCAGATTAGTACAACCGTTATCCACTGGGAAGCAGCACCAGATCGCATCAGATGGCAGGATGTACACTGTTAAGCATTTTTTGTGTCTATAGTTTTTTTCGAAACTAAAGAACAAAAGTATCTAGGCCAGGTTACGGACATCCAGTAAGGGTATAGTGTGCATAATTGACTAAGTAGGTTCATTACGAAGGGTGAATAATATGAAAGGTGTACAGGTTAATTGTGTTATATGTGAAGAAAGATCTCTGTATTCATAACCAAAATCTGGTGGAGACATGCAACAGAACACAAAAAGGTGTGTTATACCCACCCCCGAAATTCCATGACACATTTTTGGGGTCGTACTATAATGTGATAAGTTAATAGGATATTGCCTGAGGTAGATGATAGATTGGTTGTATTCTACATGAAGTATAAAATACGTGTATATTTAGTTGGTTGAGGCACTATGCTACAAGTCGGAAGGTCGCGGGTTCAAGTCCCAATGAGGTCATTGGATTTTTATCAGTTGACCTAACCCTTCCAGCCGCACTATGGCCCTGTGGTCAACTCAGCCTCTAACAGAAATGAGTACCATGAATTAATTAAATAATTTTCCTGGGGAGTAAAGTGCGGCCGGCATGTAAGGCTGACAACCTTACCGCCATCTTTGAGCCGATTTTCTGGATAATGTGGGACCCTCAACGTCTCACAACCCTATGGGCCTCCACGGCCTGTTACAGGGATAGCTTTACTTTAGTTACTCATATCAAGAATCTTAAAAGGACAGCTGTTATCTAGTAGCAATCGTCCATGAATAGTTCCCAACATAATGAGGGTTATAATGTAATTAACTTAGGTAAAGAGAATTCAGTGGGTCTCTTGTTTAGAATGATCATGAAAATTACTTCATGATATAAGATACTTGCTGCAGAAACGAGTATCCCATTACTTCAGAACGTGATTACTATACCATGTCATGGAAAGAATAATTTTTACACTAGGGATTACCGGGTTTCATAGGGCCATAATACGATGAGCATAATGTTTCAGAAACTGTAGGAAGAACTAACCTCCCTCACTGGACATCCTGTGTTCGGTTCGGGTTTCGCTGCTGGCAAAGGCCAGTAGCAGTTTACCCAAATGTTCCCCACCCTCTCACCTGAGGTTGGAAACATCTGGTTCCCGAAACGTGCTCTTCGGGATACTGGAGGATGGATGGAGTCCAAATACCCAGTAATCTGTAGTGTTATACACCATTGTCACAACTCTTTAGAATCTAGTCATTTTTACAATTTGATTTGGTACTGATGATGTGAGTATTCTTAGCTGCAGAAGAATAATGTTGGTCAAGTAGAGTCCCTGTTATGGATGGGACGGTTGTGCTACATATAAGAAAATCATGCTGTGAGTTATGGGCAGAACTCTAATGATCTCTTGTGTCAAGAAATCCCACACCAAAAGAGAAATTATAATTTTATTACTATAAGGGAACAGCAGGGTGCAAGCAAACTAAAGGCATGAATTAACAGCAGTACAAAGCCCTATTGTATTCTAAAGGATGTATTACTGGAGACAGTGCACACAAATCTTGCTCACTTTTCAATACTGTCTTCTTCCTTCTGTGTGATTATATTTCACCCAGCACTGGAATCCTATCAGACTATTCTGTGTAATGTTAACACCTGTTACAACCAGGCCCCTTCAGAATTGAATGATTTTTTTGTGAGATTGTAGTCCCAGTGAAGGTAAGTAATGTAAATTTTGTTGAGTTCAATTGTTCGGTTGTTAAATTTATTTACGTTCCATAAATCCAGATACAGCTAGACACCAGAGGATATGGAACATGTCAAATACAATTGTGTTAATAATAATTATGGTGTCTTATGTCACTAATGCTTTGTGCTGTAACTCATTTAATGAAAGTGGACATGTTAATGTTAGAAACAACTTAAGAAACAGGAGCTGATTGTCTAGAAAACATCTCACAACCCTATGGGCCTTCACGGCCTGTTACAGGGATACCTCTACTACTTACTTTACTACTTGGATGACTGAACAACTTCCTCAGTTAAATAATCATAAAGTGCATGATATGTGTTGCAAGAGGATATCAAAAGTGTATGCATTAGGTAAAACGATGAGAAGTTAACCAAGATCACTGCAGTGACATTCTTAAATGAAAGTTTGTGATGGATTGGTGAGTCACTCATCAGGATGAGAAGACTAGGCAAGGATAAGTACCCTACACGCAGAATGAATGGAATTGAACATACTGTGAAAGTGAAAATTCTTAACATTCCTGAAAATGTCAAACCAGGTACTCTTTATTGTCTGATGCCAAGGTTTAAAAGCAGATAAAGGAAAAATCTGAAGATTTAGCAACTTCAAATGGTGACGATTTTAACTATTCTCTCTAACAGTTGCAGTATTTGGAAAGTTTTCCCAGGTACTTCTAGGTATACAATTAAGAGAGCAAAGGAGCTTTAACAAGCAACAACAGAGGCAGTTTGTCTTTATGTAGTCCCAAACCAGCCAAAATTTCAAATGAAGCTACTGTTGAAGTTGTAAAAAAGTTTCTATTGCTGTGGCAAAGTGAATCAAGTGATGCCTGCTAAAAAAGACTGCATATCTGTGTGAATGGTGATTAAATATATGTGAACAGAAATGACTTATGAAATATGAAAGAGAAGAGTTCATTGAATGAGGTTATTTCTACTTTGTTCACTGCAGCACAGCAAGCTGCATACCTCACAGAACTGGAATGTAATCTACAAACAGGTGAATTTGTGGTTTTATGTGACTTTGCTGAAAATTATCCTTTCATTTTGCAAGACAATGTGCACAAGACACCATCCATCCATTTGTAATTTATTTCAAGATATAAGGTACTTTCAATACAGAGCATGAAAATATAGTGATATCAGATTGTTTGTAGTACAGTTCCATTTTGGTGTGTAATTCAGTGGCATCTAATGAAGTTTGTTGAAAACATATTTGAATTTTTGCTGAAAAGAAATTGCTAAATACTACATTCCACAGTGAAGGCTTCAGAGTTCCAACAAAGTGACACTTCTTTGCAGTAACCATACCAAGCAATGTATGACTGTCCTCAATCCAGTTCATGGAACCTTAGTTTTGATTTTGTGACAGAAAGTGAATACAAAGAAGGCAATCGGTTATCAAGTTGATTTGCAACAGCTGAAGCCGTATATGGAACTGAACAGCTCTATGCATTTATGCCAGTTACAAAAGGTAAACACAAATGTATTTGTTTCTCCTAACTCTACAGAGAATCATGTGATTAGCATGCTAAACGGTATGATTGAATTGAAAGACATTACAGGGTTTGTGACATGTATATGTGATATTCTCTGGTGGCTTACATGTGTAATATCAGTCACTGAGGAATCAAATGATATGAAAATAGGTTTTCTTTATCCTCATGGACCCTCTTGCATCATACATATATCCAGCTTTGCCTCATATTCTCTGGCTTCCTCAGTCAGCAATTATATCAAACGTTAGTACTAACGCTGAAGCAGTACCTACACTTAAACCAGTGAAGGGGCAGTTAACAGTATAGTAGAGCTGAAATTTAATTTTGTGAAACAGAAAATTGTAATGTAGAAAGGAAATGTTGTCCGTTCTTCACTGTGGATTACATTTAGCATTTCTGATTGCATATTTTGCAGGCATAAGGTGTATCATCGAGGCCACTTGGAAGGCAATAAATATGTATTCTCCAGCAACAACAGTGATGAAGATGGTGACAGTGGTGGAGAGGAACATCCCCTCAAAGTGTATAAACAAGAGACATTTTTGGAGAAAGAAGTTCAGCTAGGAGACACATTGCAGACACTTGCACTTCAGTTTAATTGCCCTGTTAGTATTTGTTAGTGGCAGAATGTTCCTGACATGAGCATGGCTGTATACAGTCTTATACACTTTCTTACTTGAATTCTGCATTTGTATTTCAAGAAGCTAACAAATGAAATTGAGGCTTGGAGAGGCAGAGTAGTTCAGCATGGAGTAAATACAGTACATATTTTAATACAACGTAGAAAGTGATACTTTTATGCCACATTCATAGAACAAATTCTAGATTGCATCATAGTTTTGCAGGGGACGTGGGTAAGGTAAAGGTAACGTTGCCTCTGTGCATAATTAAACACCATGCCATTAAGATGTATGGGGGATAGAAATTTCAGTGGAGATACTCTGACAAGTTGGCGCGAGAGAACAGTGTGTGCTTAAGACAGCTGCAGATAGAGGAGCAATATGTAGCCCAATCAGAACACTATGCATTAAAACCAGTGTCATCTGAAACAGATTAATAGATCTAAATTTAAATGCCTATTATGAAACATTAAGATCATCAGCTTCAAGGATTATATCCAGTGGCCTAAGATCTCCTTTAGTCAATCAATATTTTTATATTTCTTGCAGAATTTCACTTTTCCTTGTGGACCATAATACAAAACTCTTTTAAGGTAAAGTTTTCCCTGTGCTTAAGTAGGCAGTATGCCATGAAGACATGGGGAGTAGAGGTATAGCTCCACCATTCTTGAATGGTCAGCTTCATGCTCCTGCTGCTTTACTCCTGGGGAAAGAACCCATGGTACTCATTGGATAGGAGGTTGGGGCCCACAGCTGGTCTGGATGATGTGGAGAAGAGAAAATTCTTGACCTTATTGGGACTCAAACTCTGACTCCTTGGTCGCCAAGTCCATAGCCATTTGCTATACCGACTGTAATACAGGATATTTTTTTTAATTCGCTTAGTGGGGGGTGGAGTCCAGCTGGGTCCACTGATTGGTCTATTGTACCTGCCCTGGGTGATTATGATAATGGAGAACTTGGTGGAACGAAGATTGGCAGGGGAAATGGCAGTACTCTGAAAAAACCTGCCCCAGCGCCACTTGACCAGACCCTGGGCCACCGCGGTGGGAAGCCAGCGACTAACCGCTTGAGCTATGGCGCGGCCATACTACAGGATAAGATTTACTCT